GCATCCTGACCCTACATGAATATATCTTTCATACACCCAGTGATAATGAGGGTTGTGAACATCAACCTCCCCTTGAATTAGAAAATTCTAAAGTAACCTAGAATCAAGGATTCGAATCATTGACTGAAGATCAACAGCAGCATGCATGGTTTACTGATGGAACTGCCAAGTATGTAGGCCATGAATGATGCTGGAAGGCAACAGCCTATAACCCTGTAACAGGGATGGCGTTAGATACCATGGGGAAAGGAAAGAGTAGTCAATTTGCAGAACTTCAGGCAGTATTTCAGGCTATTAGCTATGAAAAGGGAAAGCAATGCCATCTTTTTACCGATTCCTAGGCAGTGGCTAACGGGTTGGTTACTTGGATGTCTAAATGGCATAAAGATGAATGGAAAATACATGATAAATTATTATGGGGAAGTGAATTATGGAAAGAGATCTGGGACATGGTTCAATTTACAAATGTTTCTGTCTTTCATGTAGATGCTCACGCGTCCAAAATGTCCGTGGAACGTGAGTACAATGCCAAAACTGACTCTCTGGCTACTACAGCAGCAGCATATTCAGATGAAACCCAAATACATAAAGAACAAGCATTGGCAAAATGGATACACCATCAATCAGACCATTTAGGATCTCCTGCTATGCACAGGTGGGCACAGGATCGGGGTATCAGCATTCCTTTATCAATGTTAAAGCAGGCTAAGGATGAATGCTTAACTTGTCAGCTGGACAGTAAAAAGGCTACTCCCCAAGTTGTTACAGGGGAGCTCAATCGGGGGGAGGCACCGGCCCAAACCTGGCAAACTGACTATGTGGGGCCCTTGCCAATCTCAAGGGGATGTCAGTACATTTGTACCTGTGTAGATACCTACTCTGGAGACCTAGTCGCCTGTGCATACCAGCATGCCAATCAGAAAAGTACCTGTAGAACCTTAGATATCATCTGTTTGTGTCAGGGAATCCCATCCTAAATTCAAAGTGATAATGGTTCTCATTTTAAAGGGAAATTAATAGACCAATATTGTGAGGACCATAACTTAGAATGGGCCTATCATATTCCCTATTATCCCCAAGCTGCAGGATTAATAGAACGAATGAATGGCATGCTAAAAGAAAAATTGCGTAAATTAGGAAATGCCTCCTATACACATTGGAAAGATAATCTGTTTATGGCCTCACAGCAGCTGAATAATCGGCCCTTGGGAGAAAGTACTCCCTTGACCCGAATGATGACACCTAATCTACAGATTAGAAAGCATATTGTCACAAGTACCATGAAGTGGTGGACCTTTTCTGATAAAACACAAGTCCCACATCAAGGTCGGCTGGATATGATCTTAGAAGTATAGAAACTATTTGAATTGATTCTCTGGAACAGGTCATGGTAAGTACTGGATTGGGTATCCAGTTACCTTCTGGATATTATGGGTAAATAGCTGCTAGATCCAGTTTGGCAAAGAAAGGAATACAAATTATGGGAGAGACAATAGATTCAGACTATGTAGGGGAAATAAAAATAATGTTATATAATACATCTAAAGAAAACTTACATTTTAATGTAGGAGATAGAATAGCTCAATTCCTGATAATCCCCGATAAAAATGTTATTTGGGAACAAATTCCTGAAGCACCAAATGTTACTACCCGAGTAGGTGGTTTTAGCTCTACGAATGAGTCTGGAGTCAAAGTAAGGGTAAAAAGGCACTCGGGAGACACACCTCGGCTTGGCAAAATAATAGCTCAAGGAGATAATAATGTGATGGCATTAATGATGCCAGGACAAAAATTCCCACAGATGTTTCCCTCTAACCAGTTGTTTTATCGTACCTAGTTTATTCTTGTGCTGTCACACCTGACCGTTGATGGATGGACCCCCGGAATGAAGTTATCCAATAGCAGTACGCAGTTTAGGTGGAATTGGAAGAATGCAACTAAACCGCGCCAGCAAGACAATTTCACCTGTGATGCTAACACTGCTTGTACAATTGCCAATATAACAACAGTCAATGCCACAGCCTGGAAGGGTAAAGTTCCATTGAGGGTTATTGTAGCTGGTCCAATTAGTATTAATATATCTTCATATGTAAATACATCTTGCTGTTTAGTTAATATGAGTTTAGCCAATTCTATTACTTGGAGACAGAATTTAGAAGACCAAATAACTGTGTAATGCAACTGAATTAACTTTTACTGTAAATAGCTCCCAATTTTTACTTTGTTCAAATTCAACTGCAATTACTAATAGGAGTACTTGGGCTGATTATATTTGGATTAATGTAAATAAACCCCCAAACATTACAGTTCAGACACCCCAAGTGGTAAGGATTCCAAAATTGTGTCAATGTATCAGTTATGGCCAAAAGGGTGCTCTTTCACTTTAATGTAACTTTCCCAATTATCCCACCTTGTGCTTGCCGGAGGTGGGCATGGTATGATACCCTCTTGGGAGGGTTTGGGTCAGGAGTGGGACTAGTAAATTCCATAGATTTGGAAGTCCTGGCCAACAAATTAAAGAATACTGGGCAAGACACTGAGAAGGCCATTACTGTTAACGCCCAATGGCTTCTAACTTTGACACTTCCTCATGAGAATACATTAAGCTATCAAAAGGGTATGCTAAGACTGTTTAACAGGACCCATCTCCAACAGTATAACGTGATCATCCTTACTAACTGGACAATATGTTCTGTAGAACATCTCTATATACTGATACAAAAGGAACATGCACAATGAGCTTTGCAGAAGGAAGGAATAACAACATGGAGGGCCGTCTTTAAACTCCCTCAGATGATCTGGATAACTACTCAATGCCCAAATGTTACCTGCAAAGAAACTTGGTGTAGTGGTACCATACAATACTATTTACATTCTGTAACCAAAGAATTTATGTTCGTTTCGTGTACTCCCTCTTATTACTCCTTTCTATTTTATAGTACCTCAATTAGGCTCACATATTGACAAAGATAATATCACTTATAGGTTAGATGACTACACTGCTACAGATAAAGGACCTAATTGTAATGGTTTAATTAGATCTATGGAACCTTGTCTATTAATGCATTCCTCCAATATATGTCTTTGGACTTTGTATTCTTTTAACAATTTTTCAATGCTATATGAAATAGGAACTCAGCATCTGTGTCTTGCCGGCAATAATATATCTGAATTAGGCCTGATAGGACTGACTGCTCCGTTCTCTGGATGTCTGCAGATCTGGAGATTCTCCACTGGAACGGTGGTGTGTATTACCTGTTGCCCGATCTGGTGCATGATGTAAGCCTCACTTGGATACCATGCTGGCTTCCTCTACCACAAGTTTATTTTTACTTACCCACCTTACAACAAATTATAAATGAATCTATATTACTACAGCGGCATCTTCAAGCGAGTCAGGCTTGCTACACACATTGTATCTAGCAAATTACTTGATATATCACATGTTATTATGCAAGAGTCTAATCATCACTGGTATGAATTCTTATTTCAGTCCTCTGTTGCACAATGGTATTTTGGAAGCATTTTTATCATTTTAATCATTATATGCATCATATTAAAGTTAATTTGTGTGTGTAATTGTTGGATGTATAAACAAATGCATCGAATGTATAATGCTCTAATAGTGGAAAGTATGCTCACATATGTTTTGCCCTTCTCAACTCTAGGGCCGAAATGAAAGGGTAAGGAAAATAGAGCAAGAGTTGACAAGGGGTATGCTGTGTGCATGAGAGAAGGATGACCCTGGACGGCATCCTTGGCTCGGGAGGCTTGGCTACCTGCCCAGGACAAGGAAAGTAAATCAAATGTTCTGTAAACCAGGTGTTTTCGGTGGAGCATTTGGTTTATCAGGAAACTGGACTCAGACACTAGCCAAGTGTGAGTTCATGAGTACTGAGTTAATTAATTGATACCCACCCTGTTAGCAAGGGGGACTCCTCTTTGTCTGAACATAGCATGGGAAAGAATAGCAAGGGAGAGCCCGAGATTGAGATTCTCGATTGGGTGATGCTGTCTCTGGTGCTGTCCCCGTCTGGGTGATGAGAATTTCCCCGAGATAGGATCACAGGATGGTGGTAAAGTGTTTTCCCCTCTTTTCTTTCTTTTTCTTCCTTATTAATATATATTTCTATATCTAAGTAAAGCTGTTTAATTTTTTTCTCCTGGCATGTGGCAGTGTTCTTTGCGGATCGAGTCCAATTAATATTACACCGTTCATGGCAATACAGTAAGATTCCTTGCTGTCACAATAGCATGAAAGAAACTTGAAAAAAATTAGGCTAAGTGAAAGAAGTTAGAGAAAGGACCACATTTTATATGCTTCCATTTATATATAATGTCTAGAATAGGAAAGTATATTAATGATGCCAGGGGCTGGGGAGAGGAAAAGATGGAGAATAACTGTTCACTGGTACAGAAATTTGTGTGTGTGTGTGTGTGTGTGTGTGTGTGTGTGTGTGTGTGTGTGTGTGTGTCCACGCGCGTGGGCGCGCGCGCGCATGTGGGTGGGGGAGGGGAGGTTATGAAAATGCTTTGGAATTAGAATTTGAATGGTGATGGTTCCACAACTCTGTGAATAGTCTAAAACCCACTTAATTGTATACTTTAAGAGAGTGAATGTTATGATATGCTAATTATATCTCAAAGTAAAAAAAAAAAACTAATACAACTTCTGAAAGATAGTATTGATGATTTGAATATCTGTTAACATTTTTGGGGGTGGCTTTCAGGTTTTTGATTGCGAAGTTTACCTTTGCAATTAGGTATGTGGGGGGAATACAACTAAAAGAGACAACCAATATGACCACACACAACTCCTATACACCAAAACCCCACACAATCTACAGCAAATCTAGGTGCATCCAGGGACTGTGAAAATATGGCCACAGATATTTTCCCAGCCAACCATTTTCTTTAACAATATCTCTAATCTTGCACATCTACAACCTAGCTGGCATCAGAATAACTCTCCAGACTCAAGTCAGCAGGGGGAAACCTACCTTTAATGTTGTTTTGGTCTTCCTTCAGTAATTTACTTATTTCTGAAAACCAACAATCTCTGATTTCTTTTGAAGCTGCCTGCAATTACAGATAAGAAAGTGCTATGAGTATCAGATCCCCTTGAGTTTTATTGCCCAGAGTTTTTATTCTCCCATTGACCATTAGACAGCACTTGTCAAGTCCTGGGCACAGAGTAGGAGAGAGCAGAGGAGACCTATGAGGAAGGATGCACTTTACCTGCAGGATGTACTTTTCAAGTCCATTTTTGGTGGCAATTTCAAACTTTTTACTGCTTCCCCTTCCAAGTTGGCGAATTGAAAGGGTCGTCAACTATTATGAGGAAGGAAAAGAAACATTCTATACCATCATTTTCAGATTGTAAAACTGTCCCTGTCAGTCACTCTAATCCTTCCTACACTGAACAGCTCTCTTCTTTTGTCTTTCTTCCTAGTATTTTGCTTTCCTCTGTGAACAATCTCAAGGCAGCTTAAAACACAACCTGGTATATAGTGTCTTCTGTCTTGTCTCTTTCAGAAGGTCACATAGGTTATATTTTTCCACAATGAGAGCTTGTAGCCCTCGATCTTTAAATGAGGAGATCATCTTTCCTTTAACATCTATTTCACAAAATACATAATGGTAAGTACATGAATAGCCATTAAGAAACATAAATAACAAAGGCTACTATAAATAAATTAACAGCTTTAATCACAAGGGCATTAAACTTGTGTGTGTGTGTGTGTGTGTGTGTGTGTGTGTGTCCCACAGCTAGCTGGCTATGAAACGTTTTCTACATAGATGAGTAACAGCACTTGGTGTGGACATGCACCCTTAGACCCCCATGGTCAGGATCCTGCCTAAACTTGTACACAAAGATGCACAGCTGAGAAGGGCAAGTCTAAGATGATATCCAGCCCATGCTCTAATCACTGAGTCTTGACCCCTCTGCCTAGAGGAAAGAGGGTGTTTTACTAATTTTTTTGTCCAGACAGGCTACCACACCGTCCCTTTTCTCTACCCAGTAAAAGGCACCTCTGTGCCAGCTCTGGTCCTGCCTAGGGACTGATTACAAGCCCTGACTCTGGAGTCAGACAGACCTGGGTGTGGATTCTAACTCTGTCGTGTGGCATTTGGCAATTAAAAAAAAATTTTTTTTTATTTTGAAATTGTGGGGTACAATTTAGGGTTAGGTATACAAATGTTCATTGTACAAGTACCCTTATTGATGAGGTGTGCCCCCCCTTCCCCAGGTGGATATCCACTACCGTCAATCCCAGCTATCCTCTCCACCCCCCTCCCCACAGTTTCCCGCTACTTTCAATCCCTTTCCTACAGTAATACGGTCGTTGTTCAAGGTCCACTTATGAGTGAGAACATGTGATACTTGTCTCTTTGTCTCTGTGAGAGATCACTCAGTATCATAAGCTCTAATTCCATCCACGTTGCTGCAAAGTTCGTGAGTTTGTTCTTCTTTATGGCTGTGTAATATTCCATTGTGCATATGTGCATTTGTCAATTTAGCGTCACCTATCTAAGCTTCAGCTTCCTCGTCTGTACAGTGAGGACAACTATTTTCCTTCCCGCAGGACTGTGGTGAAACCCAGGTGTAACAGCTCTCCCTTTACCTTCATAGACTTCTTAAAGCTGTAACGAGGAGAAAGCCCCTGGTCCCCGGGCTCCATCCGTATCTTACAGAACACGATTCCCCTTTCAAATAGATAGATTTGTCTCTGGCTGGGCTTGAATCGAATAAAGTCCTTCATTTTATACCGATCCTTGTGAATCGTCCAGACATTGAAAGGACCGTGTATCAACAGCTTGCCCAGTTTCTCCACATTGTCCTTTTGGAAACACGTAATACAGAAAAAGAAGCTGTTAACTAACTTGACAGAGAAAGAACACTTCGGGGTCTACCTGCAAATTTTATAAAGCAAGCTTACTTGAGGTTGACAACTCTAAAAGTGTCATTTAGGCCAATCTGTCACTAAATAAAAACTATAATTTTTGAGCTGTACTGAGCATGGCACCATCACTTACATTAAAAAGTCAGTTCAGTTATGTAAGGTAATACTGTATACAGGAATGTTAGAAATACTTAAATTAGGTCAGACACAGTGGCTCATCATTTTGGGAGGCTGAGGTGAGAGGATTGCCTGAGTCCAGGGGTTTGAGACCAGTCCAGGCAACTTGGTGAGACCTCATCTTTACAGTAAATCACAAAAAATCACGCTGGGCATCATGGCGTGTGTCTGTAGTTCCAGCTACTTGGAAGGTTGAGGCAGAAGGATCACCTAAGTACAGCAGGTCGAGGCTGCAGTGGTCGTGAGCGTGCCACTGTACTCCAGCCTGGGTGACTAGAGTGAGACTCCAACTCAAAAAGAAATACTTAAACTAAAGGTATTGGTACTCTCGTATTTTTGTCTTGTAATTCGTTTTAGCTAGAATTCCGTTTCCTTGCCTTTGTGTTTGACACATGACAGTGTACTTAAAAAGGACAAGAAATTAACATGTCAATTATGTTCTGGAAAGACAGAATTTTTGCTGCAAGATGTACCTATGATAATCCGTTCCATCTGCATCCTAATTTTTGCTTCAGCTATATGAGAACCTGAGAACATGAGGTTTGCTCTAAAAGGAGAAAGTTAGTATGACCTAATCTTCATGACATTATAACAGAAACAGTAATTGAGTTCAATTCTGCTGCTTTCAGAGTGGATCGACAGAGCAAAGATAACTTCAAATGACAGATTTTTTAAAAAGAGTCTGTTTGACTTTAGGGTGCACACGGTGATGCCTCTCTTTCTACCAGGAAGCCTGCTTTCTCAAAAGTCTGATTGAAAGTCCAAATAAGATGAGCCTGCGTTCTCTGAGCTCTCTCCAATGGTCTGCAGAGTGAGATGGGCTAGGAGCATGGTATTTTATCTGGCATAAAATTTTTAATTTTCAAAAATTAAGCCACTGAAAGCAAATAATCAAGAGTTCATTTCCCTGAATCAAAACACCAAAAGGAGCAAATTATTTGAACAGGACCAAGGCAAAGAAATCTCCCTGAGTTCATCTAGCTAAGATAAACCCCCTACAATTTCTGAGAGTTAACACTAAAAATATGTTCTTTATTCATAATTGATTTTGATAATTCATTATTTTTATGTTGAGTAAACTCTAAATATCTTTTTAAAAAGAATTGAGCATACTTTTGAAATTTTAAACTAAAAACTTTAAGAGTAATAAATTAGTCATTTCTATGGTTTGTGGTGCTATTTTCTCTACTAATTTCCTTTCTTTCTTTCTTTCTTTCTTTCTTTCTTTCCATTCTTTCCTTTCCTTTCCCCTCTCTCCTTCCCTCTTTCCTTCTTTTCTTCTGGAGACAGGGTCTTGCTCTGTTGCCCAGACTGGAGTGCAGCCCCCAACTCCTAGGCTCAAGGGATACTCCCACCTCAACCTCCCGAGTAGCTGGGACTACAGGCATGCCACCATACTTGGCTAATTTTTATTTTTTATTTTTGTAGAGATGGGGCTCTCACTTTGTTGTCCAGGTTGGTCTTGAACTCCTGACTTCAAGTGACTCTCCCACCTCCAGTCACCCAAAGTGCTGGGATTACAGGCATATCCCATCACCCCCAGCCTAATGTTTTTTTGTTTGGAAGATTTCCACATGTGAACTGTGGGGAACACAGCCCTCACTGAGGAATAAAGAGCCCCCAGCCACAAGTCTTCCTTCCTGAAAGCTGATGCTCCTGTTCTATGTTAACAGGTTCAGCTTACTACACTCCAAGTCAAGTGGGTGGATAGGTTCATGATAACCCTTGAGAAGTTTTTCACTCCATCTGCATCCTTCAAGGACCCACTCAAATGTGATCACTCTGGTCCTCAGTGATTGCCTTTTCCCTTACGTCCATTCAATTTGTACTCAATATAGACGCAACTAGTGCAGGAAATATATTTAGTTAAGATAATTGTAAAAGTAGGTGCTTAAAATTTGCTGCATGAACAACTGTTATTAGTATAGGTTGAACATTCCTAATCTGAAAATCTGAAATCCGAAATGCTCCAAAATCAGAAATGTTTTGACCACCACCATGATGCCACAAGAGGAAAATTCCACACCTGACCTCATGTGATGAGGGGCAGTCAAAACACAGTCAGAATTTTGTTTCATGCACAAAGTTATTTAAAGTATTGTATAAAATTACCTTTAGGATATGTATATAAGGTATGTATGAAACATAAATTAATTTTATGTTTAGACTTGGGTCCCATTCCCAATATAGCTTGTTATGTATTTGCAAATATTCCAAAATCCAAAAAATCTCTGAAGCACTTCTGGTCCCAAGTATTTTGGATAAAGGATATTCAACATGTAGTTTCAATCTTGACATGTATTTTTACTCCACCTCATTTCAAACATTTATACATCTTACAAAAATATATATGGTACAGTATAGGCAGACAGAAAATAACAGCAATCAGATAGCAATTAGGGTAAAGAAAAAAATTTAAAAGCTGGGAACAGTGGCATGTGCCTATAATCCCAGCTACTTGGGAAGCTGAGGCAGCAAGATGGCTTGAGTTTCAGGAGTTTGAGGCCAGTCTAAGCAACATATCTCTTAAAAAAAAAAAAAAAAGATAAAAAATAAGATGAAGAAGACCAGGTATGGTGGCGCATGTCTGTAGTCCCAGCACTTTGGGAGGCTGAGGTGGGAGGATCATTTGAGCCCAGGAATTCGAGACTAGCCTGGGCAACATAGTAAGACCTCATCTCTACAAAAAAAATTTTAAAAAATTAGTTGGGCATGGTGACACATGCCTGTGGTCCCAGCTACTCAGGAGGCTGAGGTGGAAGGATCTCTTGAGCCCAGGAGGTCGAGGCTGTGGTAAGCCCTGATCTTGCCACTGCATTCCAGCCTGGGTGACAGCGTGAGACCCTGACTCAAAAAGATGAGGTTGTATTATGTAAAACACATACAACAAAGCCATGTAAACTTGTTGCAGACTTGGCTCTGGCCTTGTTGTAGGAATACAGAGGGAACTATCATGAGTTATACAATTTATTACATCTGAAGACATACATAAACCAGTTGTTCAGGAAAAGCACAGCTAATAAGGCATGAGAAACATTTTCCTGGCTGGGTTCGGTGACTCAGTCTATAATCCCAGCACTTTGGGAGGCCGAGGCGAGGGAATTGCCTGAACCCACGGGTTCGTGACCAGCCTGGGCAAATTGGCAAGACTTCATCTCTACAATAAATCAAAAATTAGCCAGTCATGGTAGTGCAAGCCTGTAGTTCCAGCAACTTGGAAGGCTGAGGTGGAAGGATCGCCAGAGCCCAGCAGGTCGACGTTGTGGTGACCTTGAGCATGCCACTGCACTCCAACCTGGGCAATAGTAAGACTCCAACTCAAAAAAAAAAAAAGAAAAGAAAAATTTCCCTCAAGAGAGGAAGCACCACTGAGCAACATCCTCAACCACGTCTTACAATAAGTAGACAGATGAATATTTTGAAGGCAAAGCTGCTCATAAGAACACATTTGGTCAATGTGGAGGCACAGCTATAAAGGCAATTCTAAATGAGGCCAGAATGATGAGGGTAGCGGGAGCAAGTCCAGGTAGACACTCTAATGACTGTAGAAGGCAGGGCAATGTGAGTTAAGGTGTCCACTGGGCTGCAGGCTGCTGTAGAGGAAATAGCACTGACCACAGCCCTGCTGAGGAGGTAACCTCAGGTAGCAAGGTTTGTACTTTGTCACCCTTGATCTTGTCTTCTCACCCCACCCAAAGCCACAGCTCCTTGCACCTTGATAGGCAAATGATCAAAGGTTGTGAATCCAGAGAGGGTTCCCAGCTGACCAGAGAGCCCCAAGAAAAAATAAGATGTGCCAATGTCATCTCTCTCTCAACTGAAGAAACCAAGGAGGCGGCAGTAACTGGCAGGAGTTGAGACTGTGAGGCATCATACAAGAAAGCAGGCAGTGGAACACAGAAATAAGAAACAGCTCTGAAGAAGGTGAGTCACCAGAAACTACGAGGAAAAAGAAAAGACACTGATGGAGGGAAAATAACAGCCAGCAGGAGGTAAGAGGAGGGCAGGGCAGGTGTGTGGACATACCTGGCACACACAGGCAGGACACAGAAGGAAGAATCCCAACTCCCTCCCCAGGCCGAGGTTCCAGAGCGGCTCTGGATTTTGGGCTTGTTCAGTTCCCATCTCTGTGAGCCTGCCTCTCCCGTGGTTCTGAGCACCTCTTCCTGAGGCACTCTGGGCCAAGTTTTCCAGTAAGCCCATCATTACTGGAGGGAATCCCTGGGTCTTTGGAGTCTGACTGAATCACACAGCTGCATAACTTCTGGGCCATCCTGCATAAATGTTCTCAGGACCACGCGTATGATGGGATCAGATGTCTCCATGCTGAGCGTCCAGCCTCCAGTGGGCGAGCGCATGCCCTGCAGAGTGCTGAAGAAGGGCAGGGACACGTGCTTTCCTGTCAGCAGAATGCAGGCTGTGTGGAGTCACCCACCTCCAAAGGGAAGCCACAGGAGAGTCCCTGAACAGTACCAAGGCCATCTTTTCGACCACAGGTACCTTTTTTTCCCAGCAAGAATGTAATTGATCCCAAGATTGAAGACCATGTGTACATCTCTTTCAGATAGTTGTTACCTACTAGCTATTCATTTATTGACATTTACTGGTGCCTGGGGATAGAGGACATGACATACTCAGCACTGTGAGGGAGTAGTGATTGATTCCAGGAGTTAATTCAGTGATGCTCCTGTACTGGGTGGAATAGTGTTTCCCCCCAAACTCACGTCTACCGGAACCCCAGAAGGTGACTTTATTTGGAAAGAGGGCCTTTGCAGATGTGTAATTAGTTATGAAGAGTTCATACTGGATTGGTGGGTCCCAATGCAATGACTGATATCCTTATAAAAAGAGAAAACAGTGACATAGAGACACACTGAAGGAAGACAGCCATGTGAAGACAGAGGCAGAAACTAGAATGATGCAGCTGTCAGCCAAGGAACTCCAAGAATTGCTAGCAACCACCAGAGGCTAGGAAGAAGCAAGGAGCCTTCAGAGGGAGCGTGACCCTGCTGACACCTTGACCTTGGATGTCCAGCTTTCAAAACTATGAGAGATTAAGTTTCTGTTGTTTAAGTCACCCAGTTTGTGGTACTTTGTTACAACAGCCCTAGGAAATTAATATACTCCCAAGTATTTCCCACCAGTGACAGGGAAGTATGGCCATGTCACATGGTGGACTGAAGAGTATGATGGTTGTGAGCTCAGAGATGGAACCTGGGGACTGCCTCAAACAAGCAAGCATGTGATAAGTCAGATGGCCTTCTCCATACAGAAAGTGATGGCAAAACAGACTAGGTGGGGCACACAGGTAAGAACCCAACACCCTCCTAAGGCCGAGCAGCAGAGCTGCTGTGGATCCTGGGCTTGTTCTGTTTCCATCTCTGTAAGCCTGTCTCTATCGTGGTTCTGACTCTTTTTGAGGCTCTCTTGGTCCGCTTTTCCAGTAAGCCCGTTGTTACTGGTGGGAATCACTGGTTCTTTGAAGTCTGACTGAAACATAAAGCTGCTTAGCCTCTGGGTCATCTTGCATAAATGTGCCCAATGCTACCATTTTCACGCCTGGGCATTTTATAGATAGAAGCCCCATGTAAGAATTTCAAGTGTGACTACTTTGGTCAAATGAAGAACCTGGCTGAGAGTGACTCTAGGGGAGCTGGTGCCAGTAAGAGACCCCCTTTGGGTGCCCGTTTCCATTCCCAGTAGTGAGAGCGAATGTGACAGAGTCATATACTTGTTTCACAAAAAAGCAGGAAACAGCCTGGTCCAGAAATAAAAAGCAGAAGCTGCGAGAGCCCATGAGTACAATAGCCACAGGACAAGGAGCTCCTTCCTTTCCAGCCTGAGCAGGTCCCCACATAATTCAGTGCTAGGACCATTTATTCAGCATCTAAGACATGGTTCTTGGTGCCTTACCTATCATTTATCCCTGACACCCTTTGATGCAAGTGTCGTGAGGGTGAGACAATGCACAAGGCAACTGCATTGAGTCACTAGGATTATTTAGTCAGCCTTATCTCTGTAGCCAACACTATGGTTAAAAAAAAAAAAAAGGAAGCTGAAATAAAGACACGATACTGGGTCTAACCGACAATGAACTTTCAATAAAAATACATCCTTTATTGAATTATATAAATTTGTTCCAGAAGAGAAAAATATCTCATTCAGCCTTTACTATTCAGCTTTGGAACTTGTTCCTGGCAAGTCAAGATTTAAATGCATCTCAATTATGCATTGGATTTGACTGGAGGAAAAACTTTTTTTTTTTGCAAATGGAGAGAATTATATCTCAGTGTTCCACAAAACAAACTAGTTTTAAAAATTGTTTTAACTTCTGTGATTAAATTAAACCAAGGACTGATTTAGGGTGTATAAGAGGGAGAAAATGTAAATATCAGCAGTGAATTTTTTTCTAGGTGTTTTAATTATGAATTGATCCCCTCACATTCAATTTCTTCCCTTTATAAAACCAGGTTAATATTGAGTTTCAAGTAGGGAAACTAAGAGGTTAATCTCTAAATGCATCCATGCACATAGCATATTATTATAAACATCTGTGATAAGCCCTACAAAACAGAGTAAAAAAATCTTCGAATAATGAGATCTGAGCCAGTAGTAGTTGGTTGTTAGTCAACTCTAATCAGAACCAAATCAAGAGTATAGATAGAACCCTGGATAGGGAGTGTCCAAACTGACACCCACGTAATGGTGGTTGAGTTAACCATTCTTCCATGGCTCTGCTCTTGAGTGAGAAAGTTGAACATTCCAATGCCTCCTCCATAATTCAATAGGATTATACAAAACTGTCAGGAGAAATTAGTTAATGTATTAGCTGTAAAAGCAAATTAAAGTCTTAGCAGAACAGAAACCAAGGAGCATCTGCCAAAGGCACAATTCTGAGGACACACAGGCAAAAAAAAGTCCTTTGTATTTGGTGCAAAATCTCTAAAATTGTATAGGCAAATTCAGGTTTTTTGCTTTGTTTTGTTTTAAGCACTGTCTAAAGAAAGATTCATCTTATTTGCATACAAACTGGCTCAGAATGAAATTAGGGCAGAATGTTTTTTCCTCACTTTTAATCATTATTTTCTCACAGCCTCCTCCTCCTATATTATTTACACCCAGGGTTTTCTGCTCTGTGTACTATTTCTGGGACATTGTGTTGATTCAGGGAAATGGACATCTAATAGGGGTAGCTGATACATGACTCAAGCCAAAAGTAAAGGACAGAAAGATGTCCCAAAATGGTTAACAAATTATTCCCTTGACTTTCCATAACTGAAGAAGGAAAAGTTGTTACTAAGAAAATGACCCCCTTCACACACCTTAACCCACCCTGTAGTTTGTGAATATCCTCTTGAATCATGCATTAGTTGTCAGCAGGAATACCTTGGAGTCCCAGAGGACAGCAAACACAGTGGGGTTAAATTTCTGAGGTGCTGGCCAGAGAAATACCATGGAAGGAAGTAAAAAGGTCACATTTTTTGGGTCCCTAATTAACTTGTATGGTTGGATTTATGACAAGACAAGAAAAGAAAGACCATTCCCTCTACCAAGATCTCAAAACACAGTAAATTCAGAACCAGGTAGAAATGAAAAGAAAAAAAAAAGAGAAGGCAAGTTTGAAATGTAGTTTTTAAAATGCTTGAACACTGTGTGGTAGGTAGAATAATGGCCTTCCAAAGATGTTCACATCCTCACCCCCAGAGTCTGAGAACATGTCAGACTATGTAGCAAGTGGGAGTTAAGGCTGCAGGTGACTTAGGATAACCAGTTGACTTCAAGATGGGAAGGTGATCTCAGACTATCTGGGTGGGCCCAATGTAATCACAAGAAGCAGAGAAGCGGAAGAGAAGGTCAGAGTGATGTGACGTAAAACTGACTCTGCTGTTAGCTTTGAAACTCAAGGAATCAGCTATGAACCAGGGAATGTGGGTGACTTTTTTAAGCTGGAAAACTCAAGGAAGCAGATTCGTTTCTAGCGTCCCCAGAAAAGAAGACAGACATCTTGATTTTAGCACATGAGACTGTTTTGAATTTCTGATCCCTGAACTGCAAAATAATAAATTTGTGCTGTACTAAGACACCCAGCTTGTGGTAATTTATTATGACAGTGGTATAAAACAAACATGCCTGAATCAAAATCTAAAGTACTTCAAAGTGAAAAACAGTTGAATATTAACTATGTCCCAGTGCCAAAGAGATCACATAGTTTTAGAGGGTGGTTTGCCTGGAACAACAGGACTCACCTCTTGGGATTAACACTAACACTAGAGCTGAGACAGTGTCACTCCCTAGCGTCGCTCTCTAAGTGTACTCTTTCAGTAGTTCTTTCAATCATTTGGTTTAAGATGTATAATATATACTCATTGGGCCTCCTATGGGTTCTATGATGTAAAATGGAGCTAGACTTTCACATAGGATCTATTTTCAAAATGCTTTTTTCAGATAAACTCTGAATCAAAAAGGAAAAGCTTTTAATACTTTAATACTGACGTGAGCCTGAAAATACAATATGCCTTCAGCACTTTTCCCTGCCATATATGTTCTGGTCCCTGAGTTTCGGGTGTATCCAGTCTGTGGGTCAGTCCCAACATCCAGGACCCTGAGGAATATCCGTCAAGATTCCTGGAAACACTGAGGGGCTGCTGGGAATCTCAGCTCATGGATTTGCTGGCTGATGCAGGAGACTTTCCTCAAATTCCTTCACTGGAGACAATTTCTCTAACTTTGCTGCAGCATCTCCTACCTTTGTAGTATTGTGCCTGCCTTTTGCGTGAGATGTTCCAACACTTGCCATGGAACATACCGGACATCCATTGACTGCTGCTAGGTCCACCGCCAACTCACAGGACTTGATCAAATCCTCTATCACCACCAAAGCTTGCTGTAGTTTGGCTGAGAGTGATGACTCCTTGGTTTTCTTTGGCCCACCCTGTGGAAAACAAATGCCTTGCTGGAAATCAAAAGTACACCATCCACCAAGTGAAGAAAGAAAACAGGACAGAGATAAGGCACCATGGACTGCCTCAAAAGGTGGGTACATTGATCTGTCTCCCTACTCCCAGGGAATGGTGGCGAAAGATATTTGCTGGCGTAAGCATATGATATATAGACAAGAAAAATCATCTGCGAAGCCCTCTGTGCATTGTATTAGTGAATAATGAAGTTTATAAAATCATGGGCATCATATTCCTGCTAGCTAAGAAACATACAGAACTCATTTTTTTTAAACCATGAAAAATCCTAGTCCCTCTCAGGGGCTTCCCCCCTCTTGCACCCCTACCTCCTGGGACTTATGAAAAAGACAATCTGGGTACTATATTCCTAGATTTAATGTGAAAGTCTTATTCCTGTAGATAAAATTATATTAAAAACCATCCCAGGTCGGGCTCGGTGGTTCAGCCTATAATCCCAGCACTTTGGGAAGCCAAGGTAAGTGGATTGCCTGAGCCCGTGGATTTGAGACCAGCCCAGGCAAGTTGACGAGAACTCATCTCTACAATAAATCAAAAATGAGCTGGGCGTGGTAGCACACACCTGTAATTATGGCTACTTGGAAGGCTGAGGCAGAAGGATCACCAGAGCCCAGCAGGTCCACGCTGGGGTGACATTGAGTGTGCCACTGCCCTCCAGCCTGGGCGATGGAGTAAGACACCAACTCAAAAAAAAAAAAAAAAACCGTCCCCCAAAGAAGAATATTTGTAAGTTCCTCTAGAGACAAAGAACATGGTGCCATGTGGGAATTGACTAATGGTTTATGTGTAAAAGCTGTAACAGCCACATTGCTACACTGAAGCTCCCATGACTCTGCTGTTTCTCCCACCCCTTGTCCCCAGTGCTCCCCACACTGCACCATTGAGGATACCAAAGAGGAAAGCCAATGTGCCCTGCACCTCCCAAACACAGACTCAGCATTCAGCGGAAAAGCAGAAACGGCTCATTAAAGAGACGTTCTGGTTATTACCATGGTGATACCTATGACATGACAGGGACAATTGTTTCAGTGCAAAAGACTTTTGCTTGCAGTTTCAGTATTTTATCCTCCTGAAACCTACATGGCATATTTATCTTTTACCTGGTAAATACAGATAAAAAGATTCCGGTTTATTCTGTGTGTGTGTGTGTGTGTGTGTGTGTGTGTGTGTGTGTGTGTGTGTGTGTTTAACGCTTCAACTTCTACAACAAAGGACAGTTAGTCAGGTTTTGGCTGCCCCCTGTCTAGCCCCACAAAAGATGACTGAGCCTTTTCTGCGTCTCTGAGATGTGAGTGACAGGGCTGACAGATGGGACAGGTCATGCTGCCTCCACTGAGCAATGTGCCTTGCATTCTTAGCTTCTTAATAAACAAGCTTCAGTTCCTGGTGAAAGGCAACAGATACTTACCTAAGTTTATTTTAACATCAACAATACAGGATCAAGAGCTCTTGTACTGGGCGTTTTCCTCCTAACCCAATACTGAAAACTCCATTTCCTTTCAGATATTCACCTGCTCCTACGCCCTCCTTCCCACTAACAGTCCTCTCACAAACACACTAGTTTGACATTGTTTAAGGTAGGGCTCAGAAAAATCCTTACAGACATCACCAAACTCCTCTAACGAGAGCTAGTTTCTTTTGCTCAAGGCTATAAAAATAGTTCCCTGAGCTGCTTCTGTTTTCAGGGGGTCCTTGTCATATGTTCTGAGCAGAGAGGGCATGCAAATGACTGCCCCCTTGAGACATGTTTCTCAAAGCTTTTCTCGTTAAAACCAGAATATTCTATAGGAAATAGATAACAAAACCCACTGCTAAACCACACATTTCTTCCTAACCTGGCATGGCCACCATTTCTTCCAAGGGAAACTTGCCTTCTCAGAATTCACGTACACACACACACACGGGGTAGAGCAGGCATGATATATACAAATTAGAAATACTAAGAAGTACACAGAAGAAAATATAAATCATATATAATCCTACCATTCAGGAAAACCACAGCAGACATTTTATCATATTTATTTACTTCCAGTCTTTTATGTATGCATTTTACATATTCACTTAATTTTGAATTCCTGTTTAAATTTTTTTATTTGGAAGGAATAAAATATATCACCACTTCTCACTGGGCTGCAAATTCCTACTTTAAAAATGCATTTAATTTTTTTTTGGTTTTTTTCTTAGCTGTGAATTATAAGATGCATTCTCTTTTAGAAAGTTTAGACAATAAATATCATAAAAAAGGAAACTAAAATTCTGTAAATCTTCCCACCCATAAGCAAACACCATTAACAGTTAGCTATTTAAACTTCAATATTTAATATCCAGTACCTTCACCAAGCCTCCTTCTTCTGGTTCACCTGGGTCTATTTCCAAATCTTCAGGAGTCTCAAAATCCAGCAGACCCTGCATTAACCCAAAAGCCTGGTTGAAAATCAAAAAGTAGATTGCCAACAAAATCCACTGTGTAAACAATTTACAGCCAGTGCTAAGCTGCCTGAGACTGTGTGTAAATGTATCAATGTGTAAGAGGAAAAGAATGAATGATGTGTTGTGTACAGAGTTCTTTCCACAAACATAGAATCATTTTGTACACACTTTTGCAGCCTGCTCTCTCTCATTCAACAACATATCAGGAACATCTTCCCATGACATTACATTTTTCTAAAACATGGTTGTTGATTATGGTAGAGTGTTACATCTTATAGATGAACCATAATTGAATTATAGTTATGAATTATTATCTTCTCTACTGTTAAATACTTCAGTTCAACCATTTTTTTACAGTAATAATAATAACTTTCATTCATTTTTCCCAAGGCCAAATTCCTAGAAGTGGAATTGTCAAGGTTAATAATTTTACTGTGGTCCTGCCAGCTACCTATGAAAGCCTATTTCACCAGCTCCTAGCCTACACAGGATATTACCGTTGAATAAAAAATATTTACCAGTTGAATCAAAAGAGGAATCCTACCTCAGTGCCGTCGTTTTAATTTAAAATCCTCAGATAACTAGAAATGTAGAACTTTTTAAAAAGTTTATTTTTAGTATTTATTCTTTTGTAAATCGCCTATGTTCTTTGTTCATCTTTTTATTCTTAATTTCTAAGAGCTCCCAATTAGTTAAGCATAGTGACCATCTGTCACAGAATTGGCTCACATCTTCTCGCACGTGTCATGTGTCTTTGTTTTTCGCAGTGTAATCTAGCATTCCTTGCCCTTTCTCTAATATTTAGAAAAGATTTCACACACCAGAATCCCATGATCCTTTCTAAACCACAAGGCAATCAGTCTGACATCCATGTTCTTTCAAGCCAGGTGATGTGCAGGAGCACCGTACCAGGCTCTCTACATGTGTTACTCATCTGTTTTGCAATAATCTAATGGAGAAAGTTCTATTACCCTCATTTTACATCGGGAAAAACTAAGGCTCAAGAGGTCAAAGGTCCATAACTGGCAAATGGCAGAGTGAGAGCATTAAGGTTGAAACTGCTGAAAGAAAGCTGAAAAGAGTAACTTAAAATTTTTTTTTTTTTTTTTGGACAGAGTCTTGCTATGTTGCCCAAGGTTGGCCTCAAACTCCTGGGCTCAAGCCACCTCCTGCCTCAGCTTCCCAAGTAGCTGGGTCTACAGGCACGTGCCACTATGCCTGGCCTAAAAGAGGGTAACTTTCTGAGGGCAGAATGTTGGGCAATGATCTTAACCTCCCCGAGCTTCAGTTTTTTCACAGTCTAGAGCTTTGCTGACATGTCTGATTGTGGGAATTAAATAAGAAATACACATGAGAAAGTACCCAGTAAGCAGTAGGTGGTCATTTTTTAAAATGAAGAGACAGTGGTCACTGGGCAAGTGCTATCTAAATGCTTTATATAGGTTAATTCAAAAGACAACTTACAGGAGTGATTCAAACTTTTCCCTCAAACCTACATGTGGGAAAACCAGCCTTGAAAGACAATGTGGTGGCTCAAGCCTGTAATCCCAAGTACTTTGGGAGGCTGAGGTGAGAGGATTGCCTGAGTCCACGGGTTTGAGACCAGACTGGGTAACTTGGTGAGATCTCATCTCTACAATAAATAAAAAAAATCAGCCAGGTGTGGTAGCGCATGCCTGTCGTTCCAGGTACTTGGAAGGCTGAGGCGGAAGGATCACCTGAGCCCAGCAGGTTGAGGTTGACGGGGCCGTGAGAGCGCCACTGCACTCCAGCCTGGGTGACAGGGTGAGACTCTGACTCAAATAAAATAAAATAAAATAAAATATAATAAAGACAATGCCCTTTGGGGCGTGCCTGGAAATGCCTGCTTGCAGCAGTGCTGGTGTCAATGACTCACCACCAAGGGGGGGTGAAGGTCAGTGAGAAAGAGAACTGCTCAGGGGTTCAGACAGAGTACAATTCATTCTGTCATGCTGCTTTCAGGGTCAGGGCCTAAGTGTAAGAGGGCAGGTCAATGTTGCAAGAGGAAAGAAGAACTCCAGTTCTACCTTCTCCCTTCCATTGTTTCAGTGCACATAAAACACGGACTTTGGAGAAAATCACACCTCTCCTCTGAGGCTCCTTGCCTCATCTGTAAAATGGGGCAGATGGTAACTTCCATGTCTGAAAGTCAAGGCTCTGGCTGCCTCCCCCACCCCTCACTGCCAGCAGTGTGGCTTCCCCTCCACCCCCGCCCCATTGCTTCCAAAGAGCTCTCCTCCCCTAAACCGAGTTCTTAGTGAGATTTATGCCCTGGGCCAGATATTGGACTAGCCAGGCGCCAGGTCTCCTCCAACTCCATGATTCTTTGTTCTTACCCCTTATTGAAGAAGGCTGATTTACACTTAGAGGGAAGCAAAAGTCAGAAGGATGGGCATATCTTCAGCCTCGGAAGACCAAGTCACAACTCTACATGTCAAAGGACAAGAGCACCACAGTACAGGCATCTGTTTCCCCTCCACAGAAAAGCACCGCCACATTGACTTTACCTTCAACAGCCTCTGGTATTTTAAAAGTCTCTGGCTTGGTTCTCTAAGATACTTAAAAAGAGGGAGACTGTGATCCAATTGGCGCTGGCACACCTTTAAAAGCCAAACAGAAACAACATAAAACAAAACGAGCAACACACACAGAACAAAAGTGGCAGCCTTTAGATACAAGAAACAACATGACTTTTCATGGACAAGAGGGGCGGCTGTGTTGAGCTGGTCTGTAATGCCACTGACTTGTTCTGTCTCCAGGAGCCGTGTGTGAAATTGAAAGAGGAAAGGGGACGGCTTGGCTAATATTTTTATAGGCAACTAGGGAAGCAGACCATTTATCCCTTCTAGAAAGCAAGTCCACTAGAAGACACTGGGGCATTTCAAGTCCTTCTGAAAAGGAGACACCTTGTCTTTGCTAGGCAGGATCTATTCAGGTCAGTTAAAGCCTGGAGGGTACAGATGGTTTGTAGATATCATTCCAAGGAGCCCCAAAGTGTGACATTTTTCATTTCATTTTATTTTTGAAACCCATGCTAGAAGAGAATTCTGGTTTTCTCATCAGACTAGCGGTATTCCTCTCAAGCCTGTCCCACAGAGATCAAGGAGAGCATTGGAACTTCTAGTGTGTAATTTCAAAGTATGGGAGACTTTAAATAAACCTAAATCCCAATGCCAAATTCCTCTGCCTAGTTTATGATTTTGATTTCTTTAAAAATTTGAGGTACAGAAACATTTTTAGGGAGAACAATTTGTGGGAGGTTTTGTCATCTCAACGTTACCCCAAAGTAGGCGCAGTCTTGACACTCTTGCCAGATTGCCCTAGCTCGGGGCAGGTTCTTATGGTATTTAAAATAAATTTGAAGATCTTCTTTCTAGGTGGGAAAAAATTAGAATGAATTAATCAGGTAGCATTTTTCAGTAAGTAGACAGGATCATACAGCATATTCATTCATTCAACAAGCCAGAGTTTCTCAATGTGTAAGGACTGGGGGATACATGATTTAGAAACTTACGTTGGGTTATCGAGTGTATGCACAGGAGATAAACAGAGGGCTGTGAACAGATATACAGATATGAACAGAGTGCTTGGAAGCCTCTAAAGGGGCAGCTGGTAAACACACGAGTAAATTCACAAACAGAAATTGATTTTTCAATCTTTATCTGATCTTTTCTGCTCTTCGTCCAGGACACTGACATCTCCCCAGAACAATTCTGCAGTGAGTGATAAAACTGACAGAAAAAAATGCTGGTGGCTGATGGTCCCTCCCTCCTCTCCCCCAACCTTTCCTTGTCATGGTCATTATGATGTCGACCCTGCAAAGAAACACCTGAAAGATGGAAACACCCCAGAGGGGAGATGTGGCAGTTTGTAGACAGCATACACAGATCTAAGTCATTTTGGCAACATTCAATGTGGCAAGCTCGGTCTCATTTGTAACCTACAGCACAAGATTCTGAGATATGTGGCTATCTTGGAGCTAGAGATCAAGAAGGATTCAAAGTGCTACTCAAGGCCAGGCATAGCGGCTCATGCCTGCAATCCCAGTGTTTTGAGAGGCCGAGGCGAGGGGATTGTTTGAGCCCAGGAATTCCAGACCAGCCTAGGCAACATAGCAAGACCTCGTCTGTACAAAAAAAAAAACTGGCCCGGCATGGTGGTACGCACCTGTAGTCCCAAGCTACTCAGGAAGCTGAGGTAGAAGGATTGCCTGAGCCCAGGAGGTCAAGGCCGTGGTGAGCCATGATCATGCCACTGCCCTCCAGCCTGGGCAACAGGAGACTTCGACTCAAGGAAACAAACAAAAAGTGCTGCTCAGCTGCTCAGTCTATATTCTCATTGTAGCAAAGACCTTGAGAGGTGGGCACACATCTGCCAATATTCCAGACAGAAAAGTCACCCCAAGCCTCTGGAATCAGCTTGCCAGCTTCCCAGCTTCAGGGGAGCCTGGCCCACAGCACTGTCTGGCCACAGAGCCCAGGCTGTCTGGTAGGGAAGCCCACATGGTTACCTCTTTGCAGATTTGGGTCTCTATCTTTCTGCTTGGTCCAACTGTTGATTTCTTTCATGTTGACACAGGTTATTTTTTCCCTCACAGCCTCAATGATATCTGTTCTACTTCCATTTCTGTAGCACTTCCCCTCTGATAGGTTGTGAGTGGTTATTTCAGCATAAGAACTGCAGCAACTCTGTCCTTTACTATTCCATCCAGGAAAAAAATTATACATACATTCATTGAGGAAAGGAGCTGCCCCTTGAGAAATATCACTTAGACTGGTTAAGGAATGAGAAGAATAATTCAGAACTCAACAATAATATGGTATTGACCCAAATTGCTCTTCTAAAGACTAACAGTCCAAAATTCCTTGGAAAAGGGACATATACTAACCAGCAATATGAGGGGGAAACTCCCTCCCAAAATGGAATTATCTTTTGTAGGGTGGGTCACTTGTAGGACAGGCCTCCCCTGCTAGGTGAGTGTTCTAGGAACCCATCAGTATCAGTGTACAAGCTGGTGTTGTTGTGAGAGGCTGCGACTGACTTCAGTGAATTTTTTCTTTGGAGATTCTTTCCATTTGCCCATTATATGATGGGTGATTTACATGAACAATCTGCCCACACTGTGCTGAGTGTTCAACATTTTTTGACTGAAAACAGCATGGCCTTGCCCCGAGCACTTTTTTTTGTTTCCCGGGATGAAAAAAGTTCTTAAAGGGAAATGTTTTGCCGATGTGGAAGAGGTGAAACAAAAAATAGCAGAAGCACTAAAAGGCATCAAAATGGACAGGTTCAAAAACTGTTTTGAACAGTGGAAAAAGCATCTAGAGAGGTGTATCGCATCAAATGGAGAGTACTTTGAAAGTGACTGAAGTTTAAACATGTAAGAATAAATACGCAATCTTTTATAAATAAATTCTGGTTTTTCTGGGTCCTCCTCTCATATATAAAGTGCCCGATTCACCTCATCTCCTTACAGAATGAATCAAGAGACAATGTAATCGCTACCAAAAACTCATATCCACACAAGAAGACATAATTGCTTGTGGGTTAAGACTATGGGCTCTGATGGTGGATGGTTCGGGTTTAGTTCTTGGCTTTGTCAATTACAAACTATATGGTCTAAGGTAAGTCAATTAATCTTTCTGAACCTCATCTGTTAAATGGACTCATCACAGTCATCAACTCCTATGATTAAATAGGAGATTTGAGAGATTAAATAAGAAGATGTGTAGAAACCTCTTGACGAATGGTCAGTATATACAGAGTACTCCAAAAATGGTGGCTCTTGTCAAAGCAGTTTTTACTTTATAGGACCCTTCTGCATGTGTTATTTTGCTTCCCACAATAACTTTGCATATTGGTGCTATTAAGCCCGTTGTGGGGAGGAAGAAAGTGAGCATAGGTTATTTCCTTGAGACCATGTAGATATCCAGTGGCCCAACTGGGATGAGAAGTCACATTTCCCAAGCCCCATCCACGTGCTCTTTTCATTTTACCACGAGGGATCTCAGAGCAATGGGAACTCAAAGTAAACTGCGAACCAATATTGTTCTTATGGAACATGGTCTCTGGGGAAGAATTTTCCTGGAAGATACAGGCTATAGAGTTTGATTAAAGCACTCGATCAGAAGAATATTTCCAAATTCATGTTCAAGATGAGTGAAGTTCTGCAAACATTATTGAGAACAGGTAAACTTCTGTAGTGAAGGATGGTGGGTGTGACTTACTGGCTAACCAGTAGGATTCTACCAATCCCCTCATAACTGGAGTCTCAGAAATTAGGTAACTGAAGCTTTTACTTACTACATTTGTCCCAGAGAATACCTCTACAGTTGACAAAAATGTATTACCTGTATTTTGTCTCTAACCTCATAAATCATATAGGATTAGATCAGTGTTTGCAGTCTGGATTAATGATTCCCAAGGTTCCTCCCAACATGGGGGCTATAAAAAGCTTTGCAAAACTTTAGGACAGGAATTTTTTCAAGAAAAGCTGTTTAGTCAGCAATTCCCTGGCATTTCCTCACATTTGAACAATTTTTATTTCATAGTATTCATTTTTTCCCCACAGAAATTTGACCCTTTGATCATTCAACAATTTAAATAATCTTTGTACTAACAGCATTCACAACCATAAATTTATTTCTAAACTCTGAAGCTAGATTTCATATTAGTGGTTTGATGAGTGTAAAAATGCAAAATACTACAAAGCACTAGTTAGTATTATAATAGTTAAAAAATAATATGACTCAGTTTGAGTACAAAATAGTTTTTAGTGTATCTTGAATTTTAGTACTTGCTACAGAGCCTATGATGAGGTGTGATGGAAAGCCATAGAGGGCCACCAAAGGGCTGTGAGCATTGACAACTCTGTTTCTACATTATGTCTAATACTTCAAAAACCAGGGGTTTTGTTTTCTTTCAGTTATCATCAATATTGCTCTCAGGCTTAGCCATAATGTAGGTTGTTTAAGAATATCTGAGTTGTTTGATCTGCTGTCTTGGGCTCACAAAAAAGAAAAAAACAAAGAAATAGAACAAGAAGGGTTAGCTGGGACAGAGAGAAGAAATGGGCAGTATTTAGAAAGTTGAGGACTTTTCTGTATGATTGTCCTAGAAAGCACTTGGGGGGAATAATGTAGGGTAAGGCATTTCCCTGTGCCAGCCCCACTGGCCCACAGCGCCTATTTATTTCTCAAAACGGGTGGAGAAACAGGGTAAGAAGGAAAAAGTCTAGGTGGTGGGAAGGAGGGGTAGTTGGGGGTACAGTGTTGTAGGACACAAAGTTCACAAATTGGGTGCTAAGCCTAAGAGATTAAATTTTTCTAACCATCCTCTATTCTGTAAAAAATAAAATGGAAGAAAATATATTTTCTGAGAGTTTTAGTTTAACACCAATACTTCTCTTCTTGAGAACCTTACTACAACTTTAGTGTGGGACTTGAAGTACAATGGATGATTCTTGTCCTAAAACAGCGCAGTCATTCAGAAGATGATCATCCACTTTGGGGACACTGGGAGGCCTGTCTTGCATTTCAGGGGCTTTTCAGGAAGCCAGGCTTGCAGTTGTTCTACATATCACTGTGAGCCAGTCAAATTGGACTCATCCTATCCTGGATGAAGGGAGGTCAAGTTGGGAGGTCAACTCCTGTTTTCTATTCAAAGGCAGATATAAGATCTACTGTCTTGCAAATTTAAAGTATACAGTACAGTATTACTAACTATAACCACCATGCTATGCATTATATCTTCAGAACTTATGCATCTCACAACTGCAAGTTTGTACCCTTAGACCAATATCTATTTCCCCTAGCCCTAGTCCTTGGCAACCGCCCTTCTATGAGTTCAATTTTATTAGATTAGACACACACACACATACACACACACACACACACACACACACACAGGTAATGGGCGTGTTCATTAACTCGATTGTGGTGGTCATTTCACAACATATAGGTATATCAAACTGTCATGTTGTACACCTTGAATAGATGCAATTTTTATTTGTCAACTATACGTCAGTAAGTCTGGGGTGGGGAAAGGGGAAGCAGATAAATGTATGTTTGCCCTTGCCACGTGTTATTTTAATTTATTGGGAGCATAGACTTACTCTCTTGAGGAAGCAATGTGCCAGAAGTTCAGGCTTTTCAGCACACTTTTCCAATTCTTTTAGAAAAGTCCTGGGAAAATAAATGCAGATAGATAATAATCGTTGGATTTTTAACATATGTAGGGTTAAATGTTTATTTATTTATTTTTTAATTTATTCTTTTTTTTTTTTTTTTTTTTTGAGTTGGAGTCTCACTCCATCACCTATGCAGGAGTGCAGTGGCATACTCACAGCCACCCCAGCATCAACCTGCTGGGTTCCTATGATCCTTCTACCTCAGTCTTCCAAGAAGATAGAACTACAGGCCTGCGCTACCACTCCCAGCTAATTTTTTATTTATTGTAGAGACGGGGTCTCACCAAGTTTCCAGGCTGGTCTCAAACCCATGGCTCAGGCAATCCACTCGTCTTGGCCTCCCAAAGTGCTGGAATTATAGGCTGAGCCACCAAGCCCGGCCTTTTTTTTTTTTTTTTTTATTGTAGAGATGAGGTCTCGCCAAGGCTGGTTTCAAACTCATGGGCTCAGGCAATCCTCTCACCTCGACCTCCCAAAGTGCTGGGATTACAGGCTTGAGCCTCCGTGCCTGGCGGTTAAATTTTTTTTTTTAAAGTAAAATCTAATAAGGTTTCAAGAGGTGCCTAGAAAAATATTGTTTTCCAGGCTTTATTGCTGTGGACTCGGCTTCTACACACTGATCTAGAAGGAAAAAATGTATCCTGAGGCATTACTATGATCCCTCTGAAAGTACCCATGGATGTTCTGATCATTTTAAGCACAGGCCATAGACAGACTGGACACACTGATCCTCCCTACTACGTGATAATAGCGTTCATAAGAACTCTACTGCTGTTATTACTAATATCATTGAGCGCTTACTGTAAGCCAGACATAAGCTAAGTGCTTCACAAATAATTTCTCCCTTAATTCCTCAACCAACCCCTGTAAAATAGGGTTTTGTGTATAAAAAGCCAAGGCTCAACTCGGGAATAACTTCCCGAGGAAAAGTAGTAGAATGTTCCATTTCAGCTTTGTGCCTGACCAAGGCAAAAGGGATTAGACTGGGAAACAACTGCGGGCCAATTCGCCCAGAAGCCTTCCCCCTCTGTGAATTTAGGTATGTGATTGTGGGGTTGCCATAGTGGGTAAAGTGAGCCTACATGTGTGAAATAAAGGGTCCGAAGATGATTTCCAAAGTCCTTTTCTCCTCCAATTCTCTAGAAGGAAACATCCAAACAACCATAGACTAAAAGTACAACTTTTTTTGAGCAGCTAGCATTTTCTTATACCCTCATTCCCAGCAAGCCCCTATGGTAATGTAAGTGGACGTTTATCTTGGTCCTCTTTGTATTCCCAGTGCTGAGCACAGTGCCTGGCACAGAACAGGTGCTCAAAATCAGTGGTGTGTGAATAAATGAACCACCAGAGGAACACTCAGCTGAACACAGCATGGAGGCCTGACACCTAGTGCATACCGCTTTGAAGTCTCTTTCTTTCCTCTTCAGGGATGCTGGGGAGTTTCTCCACTCCTCCTCACTCCATCCCACCCCAGACCAATCTACTGAATTCAAGCCACTTGCTTAAGCCTAAAAACAGCTAAGCGTTTTCATCTCCAAATTTCGTCAATCTGATTTCTACCCTTCTCTTACTGTCCCTTTCTCCCGATAATGTGAATTATTATATACCTGTTGTGAAATTCATAAAGTTCCTCAATATTCCCAAAGAGAAAGTCCTTGTTATTCTGAAGAATGTCTGGAATTAGATGCTTCAGCCAAATAAAATCCATTGGCGTGATATAACCCTGCAGAGGCGGAAACAAGGTAAGTTTTACAGACGGGAACAAGGAAGGGATTATCTGAATTAGCTCCTCCAGAAGCTACAACTTTAGCAAAATAATTAAGGGATACAGCACATATGTTTCCTGAAAACTATTCTATCAAATACTTTTCTTTGGTATCATTTTCTTCATGTGTCCATCTTTAAAAGGAGATGGCTTCATGCCAGTGATAATAAAATAGCATTTTTCTGAGAAGAACAAATATATTTTTTAAATGTTTATAAGCTATACAAGTCAAATGTGAAAGAAAGAAAAAAATTATACCCATAATTTTATAACCTGGTGCAATTATTGTTAAGTTTTATTACATTTCCTTCATGACTTTTTAAAAAAACTCATTTTATATGGTCATAATCATAATACATACATGATTTTGTACTGTTTTTCCATGTACATTTGAGACTCAGCTTGTAAAGCTCTACATATATATTGTTTTAAATTCAATCCTATATCAGGAGTGTTTTTCAATGTTGCTACATATACAAAGTAATAATTCTGTAACAGCTTAGTATTTATTCAGCTTGAATATCATACTGTATTAAGCTTTCCTTTTTTAATTGGACATTTGGGTTGCTTCTGATATCTTATTTATTGTTAAGAAAAGCTATAGTAAATAATTTTGTACATACAGTTTTTCCCTTAAGATTATTCCTTTAGGAAAAAGAAAAATATGCATTTTCATTATTAAGAAAAAGGCTATTTTCTTCCTTTATTAAAGTATTAAAAATGCTTAAATCATACTATCCTTTTTTGGCAAGCATATGGTGAAGCTAGTTGGGCATTACTGGAATTAGTATGAACTGGTACAATTCTTTGGAATCTATTTGGCTACATGATTCAAGAGCCATAAGAGTGTTCTTATTCTGGAGAGACACCTGTGATATAAGACCTGAAACCTCAGTGTACTTCTAGAAACATATGGCGAGTATTTTGAGTCTCTTTGTGTAATATATGCTTGACACTCCTTCTCCAAATCTACTTACATCAATAATGCTTTTAATTTCTTTGATATACATCTCTTCAGTTTCAAGCAGGTCACGTATAATGCGCCTGAATCACAGCAGCAGGTGGGAGGTTGAAAGACAGAGACAGAGGGAAGGAAAGAACTCTTTTAGAATTCTTTTAGAATCATGTTCATCAATACAATTCCCCTCAATGGTTCCCCTTTTTAGGCTCTGGTCAGTTCATTCTGTCCTAGTGAACACCTAAGGCCAGCATCCCACAAAAACACATTTTGGTCACACTGGTATCAAGAAGAAACGACAAAGTCAAAGGACTCAAGATCCATTAATGCAGCCGGTGAATGACCTGTCCTCTGGGTAGACCTTCTAGTGTGGGATCAAGGGGGCAGACGTTGGAGTCAGAAATATCTGGTTTGGATCCTTGGTCAAGAAAGGTCTGCCTGACCCCTACATTGTACATGTAGATTTTCTCTCCAGCTTTCTGCTGCTTCATTGCTCACATAAACATCTTGGCCCACAGGTATGTATTCTGTTGGACATGCTGTTTGATGGATGCTAGCCCCTTCCTCTGGCATTAGATGTTTCATTGTGATTCCCTAAGTCAAAAGATGTGAGGTCTATCTGCTTCCTCAAAGAAGGCAGGTAGAGGGTATGGTGGGAAGAATTCTAAGATGATCCCCAAGATTTATTTTTTAAATTTTTTAAAAAAATTTTATTTTAAAGACTTGGGGTACAATTCAGGATTAGGTATACAAGTGGTCATCGGATTTCCAAGATTCCTGACCCCTGCTGTGCACATACCTCCTCTGGATTAGTCAGTCCAACACTAATTCAGGTGCTGCTGTGAATGTTACTGATAATCCAGTTGGGCCTGTCCTAATCACATGTGCATGTACATTAGACCTGGGTCTAAAAGTCAGAGAGATCTGAAGCACAAGGCAAGATTCAACACAAGGGAGAATCACCTTTGCTGCCTTTTGAGATGCAGGGGGTCACGTGGCAAGGAATGTGTGCAGCCTGTAGGAACTGAGAGTGGCCCCAGCTGATAGCCGGCAAGAAAGCAGGGAACTCAGTCCTACATTTGCAGGGAACCAAATCCCACCACAACCACATAGATGTAGCGGGGGATCCAGTACTCGCATTAGAGTACGGGCAGTCAGCACCTTGATCTTAGCTTTGTGGGACTCTGAGCAGAAAACCCAGTCCGGCTGTGCTGGGACTCCTGTCTCAGAGAAATTGTGAGTTAATCTGCTAAGTTTGTGGTCAGCTTTTATGCAGAAATAGAAAACCAATAGAAGGGATTATGCCAGTCCCTACATCTATCCCAGACAATCTGTTTTCTTTCTCTCCTTAGGCTATTCTGTTACATTTTGCTTCCTTTTAGGGCCCCAAATATGTGGGCGTTTATACAAATGTTCACGTGTAGAATATATACATTTGTGCCTTCCTGTCAACTCTTGATGAATTATCTATTAAATGATGGCCTCTACCGGAAAAGGATTTATTCTGGGTTCACAAAAATGAAAATGGCAAAAGACAAGTGATCCAACAGAAAAAAAAAAAAATAGAGAAAGGACACAAAATAGGAAATTCACACCAACATGCAAATGGCTATTAGTCTTAAGAAAAAAAAATGTTCAATACATACATTCAATAAAGACATATTCAAAAGGTATAGCAATTTTCATCTGCTAGAGTGGCAGAAATTGCAAACCTCAAAGGAAGACCAGTAGGTGAGGATGTGGAAATAAACTCAGACTATATTGGTTGAAGTGTAAATTTGTGCAAGCTCTTTGGAAGGTACTTTGGAAATATCTCATTGAAATGTAAAGCGTGTGTTCTTTGACTCAGTCATTTCACTCCTAAGATTGTTCATTGTTTGTAATTAGAATAATAGAACTTCAACAACAATCAGATATAAACTGGAAGTTTCTTAAATGTTCATCAATAAATTAGAGTATAAACTCATAATGAAATGTCATGCAGTTGTTTAAAAGAATGAAGCGGATTGAAGCATGCTGGTATGAAAGAAACCAGGTATTTTAAGCAAAAAAAGGCAAGATGTATAAAATGACTATTTGTGTAAAAATGAATGTGTATGTATACTTGTATGTAAAGTTGTATGTGCTTAGAAGATTTGTGCAAAAAAACTACATACACATTGTTAACAGTAATTGCTTTTGCAGAGTGTTACTGAAGGCTAAAATATGAGAAAGGAGAATTTCTACATTTTACCCTAACCCTTCTACAATTTTTAAAAATGAAATTTTATTGCTTTTGTAATTTAAAAAATGACTTACGCAATATTTTTAAATGAATGAATGTTCCTAGAGGTAATGACATGTAAACCCCATTTGATCAATACAATGAATGTTCCTAGAGGTAATGACATGTAAACCCCATTTGACCGATACAAATAAAGCATACAATTTACACATTTTATAACTCAGCAATTATTCTTTCTTAAAATGATTATTTTGTATCTTTTTACAAGCGCTTATTATTGTATCCACTGACAGAGGATACAATTGCCAGAAGTATAAAAACTACCCAAAAGTTACTTTAAAACCATACTTTGCTAAGAGCATCACTGAGAAAGAGGTTCCTGTGCTTTTTAAAAAAATATGTAAATTATCCTGAAATGATGACAGTTGCTATGTCAGAAGGAACTGCAAGCCTCGATACCAATATGTTTCTATGAGCCATGACATCAAATAGGACCACAGCAACAGTTAAGCATTCATAGAAAACCTGAGTACAATCAGCCTCTTATGCCCTTTGAAGCATACAGCTTAAGCGACTTGGCAAGTCGCTTTAAGGATGTATTAATGAGTAAATGAAGTCAGAAAGCAGAAATAACTAGGAGGTGAACAGAAGGGAAGCTTATTATCCAACAATTATGTAGGCACTTAAGAGAGTCTTCATTTTTAGGAATCTGACACAGGAAAATATTCACAACTCAGAAGAAAAAAAAAAAAAATCCCTTGTCAGGTCATGGTCCAGTGGGCCCTTTGGAAAAGTCTAGAGATCTTGTTCAATTGCTTCATTTTATCTGGAGGACTACAACAGATAAAACATAAGCAACAGAACTTCCCCTGAACACGGGTTGCCTACATTTCAGGTCAGATTATATTTACATCATGGTTAAGTCATTGTTCTTCCTTTCAAGGAGCATTCTAAAAGAGGAGAAAATGTATGACTCTTACCGATGATTCCTTGCTTCATTATTCTGCAGCATGTAACTGTTCATAGAAAATGCTCAAGGATTTACCATCTAAAGTCATCAAGCATATATAATGCAGATGAAAAACAGAGAACACTGGGAGTACTCAAGCCATCTGAAAACCTTTAAGCACCCACAGCAATCGATGTCCTGATGGATATTTACCCAGAGAGGGAGGACTGTAGACTGTGATTAGGATACCAGATGGGGTCCGTGATGCAACAAAAGTCTGCGCTGCTGTACTCTGTGCTAGTAACCCCCCTTATCCCCCCATCCCCACCACCAGCTTACATCATTAAGGGAGAAATGGAGGCATGGCTTGTTTTAAAGGACATTCTTCTCTGAAGCCATGTTTCACGGTAGCATGAAAACAGAGCTTTGGGTATCTGGTTCCATTCTATATGACACCTCATGCTTATTTCAGATGGCACTATAACCAAGGGTCAAGAATGGAAAGAATATATCTCTTAAAGAAACACATGCGACATTGTTTGATAAGCAATATAATTAAAGTAGATACATGTTAGGATTTCCTAGTAAGTTTATTTTCTGCTCCTCTAATCAAGTACTGCCCCTCACCTTCCCACCCCCATTTCTCAGCTCTCCGACAGAAGTGTATCCTTTTGGGAACCAATCTGTCAGAAGTCTGTTTTTGTGCATTATTGTCAACACAGCCTGCCTTCTTTCATTTACTCCCGCTATTCTGTCACATCATGCATTTCAGAAAGGGTGACCGATTTTCACTTTTTGAGAACCTGAGCTCAGGTTTCCAGGCTTCCGTCACTCTCTTAGCTCATGCTGTTGACTCCCCTACCTCTTTGTCTTCCTCCCAGACCTTTGGCCATGCTCAAGCCCGTGTTGACAATTTTCTTTTCTTTTTAAAAAAATTCTTAAGTTTTTTTATTTTAAAGATGTGGAGTACAATCCCTTACCCTTAAGGGATACAAATGTTCATGATGCAGGCACCCTTGTTGTTGAGGTGTGCCCTTCCTCCCCTGGCAGTTTCCCTCAACTGCCAATCCCACCTACCCTCCCCTGGCAGTTTCCCGTGACTGCCAATCCCTTTCTTAGAGTATCATGATAATTGTTCAAGGTCTGTGTGTGAATGAGAGCATATGGTATTCTGTTCTCGACAATTTTCTATATTGTCTTTCCCTGGATGCCTCCTAGATACCTCAAGCACATTAAGTTGAAAGAGAACTCATTATCTGGAAACAGCATGTGTGCCAGTGGAACTGCCTTTAGTCTGAGGTCCCTAAAAGACAGCCACTGTTTCAAACTCCCTGCTATGACATCCTTAAATTCAACCTGTCACCAAGGTTCCTCATGTCATCCCTCAACATACCTCCTGGGCATTGCTGACTCTCAACTTCTGGGACCCCCACAGAGAAGCTCTCAATTCCTCTCACCTTAGTGCACTTCTAGAAACACATCCTTGCCCCTGAGACCTTTCTTCCACCAATCTGTCTTGCAGACCACCAGGCTACGCCCTTCCTAACGCTTCCTTTCCATCATTTCACTATTCTCTCTCTTCAAGAAATTGCCCAGAATTGGCAACAATACTGATTATGGGCAATTTAAGACCCTCTCCATTCATGTGACAAGAGTCCTAAGGAGCTTGCTCTAAAGGAAATCCAGACTTGCACCTCCAGAATGAGGAGTGAGGAGTGGAAGCCATGGGTGGAATCTGTGATTTTCCCAAGCACCCTGGATGATTCTAATGCAGACGGTCTCCTATTCAACTAAGGGGCACTGATCTAACCCATTCCTTTTAGGCTACCTGACCCCCACCTTTAGTTAGGCCAATGTTATTATTATTTTTTCACCTTCTGAATTTGAATCATCCTTCAAAACCCTAACAGCTT